TAAAAATAAGAAGATGTGGTATGATTAATGAGACATCTCTCACCAAATGACGTAGAAGTTATAACAAATATAGGTCAACGTCCGGCTGTCAACAATGAGCAAAACCCATACCGCATAGCAAGTTATGTCTGTAAGAGGAAGTATCCAATTGAGAGAACAACCTTTACAATATTATCTTTGTTTTCCTTATGAGCTACTCGTTTTCCTGAAAATTGAAAAATGTGTTCCTCAGTATTGTAGATGCAAAGCTACATGTACCATGTCAAAATTCAAGACCGTCGGAAATCTTTTTTAGAAAAAGGAGCTACTTGTAAATGACCGGTTTTAGACAAACGTATTGTGATGGGTAATATAATTTGGCATTTCAAAAATTGAGGTATCTTCAGAAGAATTTTATATTTTTTTTGTTAAGAATATACACTAGTACAGGAGTGTAGTATAGAATATAGAATATTTTTATTCACCAAAGTAGGGCCCCAGGACTGAGGGCATTAGCACATAAACAATATCATTATAAACAATAACATATGCAATACAATCCAGACAAAATATAGATATGTAATAAAAAAAAAGAGAAACGTACGTACCAAAACAACAACACCATATCATAATTCAATTAATATTATGTTGACATTGACTCAAGTGCACCAGGTAAGTGTGTTTTGACTATTAAACAATCAGAAGGCTTAAGTTGCTTAATTGTGTCTTATGGAGAAATTTCTAAAAAAAACACACATACAGAGAAATTTCCAAAAAAAAAACATACGAGAAAACACCCACACATTTAAGGTAGATCATAGGTATATATTTCTTGAGATAGAATTTTCTTATACTTTGCCAAAATGAAGATTTTACTATGCTTTTTTCAAAAATATAATAAAAAGTATGGGTCACCGTGCTATTTTCCAACCTATGAGTCGTTGAAAATTGCCTAAATTTGGTTAGATTGTTCATGAAAAAACACATTTGTGTGCATAAAAAAAAATCTATGAGATAGAATTTTGAAATAAATTGTGAGAAGATAGGTTTTATAATATGTTTTAAGAAAATAAAAAGAAAAAATGGTGTCACCGAACTTGTTTTCTTGCTACAAGTAAAAATTAGAACTTTCCCTATCAGTCCATTATATATTTTTTACTAAAAGAGTTATCTCCCCTTAAATGGCTTATTTGAAAAAAAATGATTCTAAAAACACAAAATTTGATATTTGTTTGAATATTTTGAGTTATACAATAAATCACCAAGATTTCTTTAAATAAATAAAAGTCTAACCAAAAAATTGCAAATCTTCCTTCACATTTGCAGATTTGGGCAAATAACTAGACCGATTTTGCACTGGGATTGTACAATCCAAGATGGCGGTATACCATGATTCTACCTTAACTATGATGTATACTGTATAAATAACTGAATAATGGACTGCAGTAAGCACCTAGAATCGATGCATAAAGGGAAATTCCTACTTGTACTTCAATAATCATGCACTGATGAGTCAAACTCCTTTTTAAAATAGGCAGGGCTATTTTGCCGGCTCCGGTAAAATATCGATTTATATAGAGTTTCGCTATTTTGTCGGTCTTAATTCAGATTTTCAGTATATTGATTAAGAATAGAAAGACATATAGAAACATACACTTTAATAAGAAATCTTAAAAAAGTGTGTCTTCTTTAAAACATTTATACAAAAGCAAAGCATGCATATATGCATATTAAAATTAATATTTTAATTAAAAATATCCCATGAGTTTTGAAATTAGAAGTTACTTTAAAAAGAAGGTGTGGTATGATTGCCAATGAGACAACTCTCCACCAGAGACCAAAATAATTAATGACGTAGATGTGTCACCGTAGGGCTTTCAATGATGAACAAAACCCAAACCGCATAGTAAGCTATAAAAGGCCCCGAAGTGACAAATGTAAAATAATTCAAACGAGAAAACTAACGGCCTCATTTGTGTACAAAACAATAAACGAAAACAAATATGATATACAGCAACAAACGACAACCACTGAATTCTAACTTGGGACAGGCACATACAGAATGTGGCGGGGTTAAACATGTTTGCTGACGCCAAACCCTCCCCCTAACCTGGGACAGTGGTGGAAAAGAATAAACTATAACTATCAAATGAAAAAGGCTTAAACTCATCAGATCGAAACAATGCACAAAAGACACGAAGTACAGATCTGAGAGTACTCGCAGTTACTAAAAGCTAGTTCAAAGCTAGTTGGAAAAATCTATGTTATCTTGTGTATGTACTTAGAACATCTCGAAGTTTGAAGATGTATCTTCATGGGGATAACAAAACTTTTGAAGAATGTGCATGTACAAATGGATGATTCTACCATAACTTTACCTTCTTTACTTTCTGCACACCAACGTTGTCCACCTGTCTCGTCCTTTTCCTTCTTCAACACGACATCGCTACGGTTTGAAATCCGTTTCAATACATATAACTCACTTGTAAGTGCAGAGTGTATACCAAGTTTGGTTTAAATCGATTGAATGATGTTGATGAACAATTTTGCAAGTTTTGACAATGTTAGTTTCTGTACATGTCGGCTGCTTGTCATCTTAAATACGAGCCGCCATTCATAAATGTATATATGGTTGTATGATAAAAATGAAGATAAATGTACATGTAATGATGAAACACCTTGATGTAATAGTGGATGAAGGTTTGTGGTCTTTGTCGCCATGAACTCAACAAACTTTATTGTACCATAGACTAGACCGTTATTACAGTTTTTGTTTGGTGCTCTAGTTTCAGTCATAAATTTTATAGCCCTTGCATCCCGGTTCCACATGAAGTTGCACACATATATATAGTTGTCCTTTTTAACATGCTACAAACAGTGACCTGCTTTAGCTCTTCATATGAGTCGAACTTAGCCTTTAGTTAAAAAAAAAATTGACAACTAAGTGTCGTCTTTAATTTCCGAACGTCAATGTTTAACAGAAATTTAAGGTATTTACCGTGGCTGCTACATGTACATGTAATTTCATGAGTGAAGTTCACCAAAAGTGAATAAACCAGAGCCGGCAAAATAGCACTAAGGAGGCTGTTTCGTCGGAGTCGGTAAAGTAGCATCTAAAAAGCCGCTGCCTTTAAAATAATAGTGCACGGTCTACGTTTAGCCAGCAATGATCATCATGGGACGTTGCCACGGAATATATATTCTTCGTATGATCAGTGCAGGCTTAACAGAGTATCCAAACGCATATTAAAGAATAAAATGGGGATAAGTTATTTCAGATTATGTTTTCCTTTAATTATTAGTATCATTTATATATTTATAAAAAAATTTAATTGCAATGATAGTACAGTGGGAACTTCATTATTCATTATCCAAATTATTCTGTTGTCAGAATTTAAATATTGTAATTTTTGACATGATTTTAATATACTTTGCATCATTCCTCTCATTTTAATAAATGGGTGTCACATTTAAATAATTAATGAACTCCACCGTCAACCTAACCCGAGGTGTACCTGAGACAAATTCGGTTTTGTCGAAGAATGGTATCTGCCCTATTCAATTTGCAATTTGTGAGCACATATTCTTAATCTAGTAATACATTTAATTTTGCTCATAAAGTCGTATTTATTGACAAATAATTTTCAAATCTAAAACTACACTTGAATGTTATATGATGTTCAGAATCACTAAAATCCAAAGTTTTTGACGGAAATGCAACGAACTCGAAAGTTGTCTATTAACTTTGAAGTAAGTTTATCATCTTTAAGGAGCTACAATTTGATTTTAAGGGGGAGGCTAGGATGAAAAATTTTGTCCTGCATTTTATTTTTTAGTTGCAATCTCTGTCCTGCACTTTTATTTTTCACTCTATTCGGTCCTGCCTTTTTTTTATTAGTTTATCCTGACTTTTTTTTTTACATAAATTGTCATCCTGCCTTTTTTTTTGCCAAGCTGCTCATCCTGCCTTTTTTTTTTAACTCAAAACTACTGTCCTGCCTTTTTTTCAAATATACAAGCCCCCTCCTAGAAATCAAATGGTAGCTCCCTTATGTATATCTAGCTGGTTTTTTCCCACAATGCAGTGTTATATACCTTAATACTCTGACCACAGTGTAAACTTATTTAAATATTGAATATTTTGCTGGTATATGGTTTTCTTTATCTTTTTTTTTTTTTATTTCAAACAGCTTTTTTTAACAATCGTGCAGCTTTTAACAAGGGAAATGAGGAACCAATATTTTCTAAATGATGCCAATATCCTAAAAAGTATAACATTTAAAACATTTTTTAAAAAGTGTCATTTTTTAAATTAAAGTTAATCAGAGACATATATACACATATGTATATGAGCCTCCTCATGGGTTTTTTTTTATTATGTGATTACTTGGCCGTTTTTAGTGACTATTTGATTATCAGGGAGCTACCATTTGATTTTTAAGAGGGGCTAGGATGAAATTTGAAAAAAGGCAGGACAGGAGTTTTGAGTAAAAAAAAAAGGCAGGATGAGCAACTTGGCAAAAAAACAAGGGCAGGATGACAATTTATGTAAAAAAAAGTCAGGACCGAATAGAGTGAAAACTAAAAAGGCAGGACCGAATAGAATGAAAAATAAAAAGGCAGGACAGAGATTACAACTACAAAAATGCAGGACAAAATTTTTCATCCTAGCCCCCCCCCCTCCCCATAAAAATCAAATGGTAGCTCCCTTGTGTGATTATATTGGCGAAACATTTGTGATTATGTGATTACTTGGACACCCCCATGAGGGGCCTCTTATATATGTCTCTGAGTTAATCAACATTAATTAGCACAGGTAACAGACATCCTTAAAGTGACAAAGAAATTAACAAAAAAAATAAAAGGGATTGACAATTCAGTTGATAAGGGTCTCTGACCCTAGGCCTTTACATCATAACTCTACTAGTAGTTTTTGGGAAGGTCGAAGTTGACGAGAAAAAACATATCAATATGCCTTTTCAGATGACCCGGAAGTAAACACTGATGTATTGACCTTTTGTGTGTATTCCGCCATAGCTGTCATCAAAAAATTAACCTGACGAAAGAAACCGATAAATATCAGTATTTGTAAGTTTTAGTCGGGGAAAATATTACACGAAATGAAATCTGTTACACATTGATGTAAATTTTTATCATTTATTATGTTATAAATTGATAGATATTTGTTAAACACTTCATTTAAACGGAACAGGTGCCCGCTGATGCTGTCGGTTGTTTATCAAAACGAAAATGAAAGAGAGCCGAGTGTAATATATAATTTGTCTTTGTATATGCACTATGGTTAGATGTCGAAAACATGATTGTCGAGATTATGAACTCCTTTTTACAGGTTTGTCACAACCCGAAAACAGGTTTGGGCCAGTCAAATGAATAATTACTAGGCTTCATATAAAACTAAAAGAGACCATATATCAAAGAGTTAAATGATATTTATTTTTAAACAACCCAATACATAAAAAAATAACATACATATTAAGAACAAATATAGGTACAGCTACTAATAAGAAGTAGGTGTTACCTATCTTGCGATCAATATTTCTTTATTTATAGAATGTAAGCTGTATCTTTATTTTGCAAATCTGAGGAGATAAAAGAGAAAAATGATTAATTCAGAGTATTCCTTTATTTGTTGATACATTTTGTACTTCAATCATTGATCTATCTTTAATTGAACATGGGGCCTAGGTGGCTGAGTGGTCTAAGTAGTAGTCGAACTACTGTATCACTAACCAGTTAACACTGAGGTTGTTAGTTCGAAACCCGCACAGGGCAGGTGCACTCAACTCCAATCTTAATTGACTAGGATTGTCAGTTTTCCTACAGAAGGTCGGTGGTTCTCTCCGGGCACTCTGGCTTCCTCCACCAATAAAAACTGACCGCCAAGAAATAACACATTAGTGTTGAAAGTGGCGTTAAAACACCAATCAATCAATCAATCAATCAATTGAACGCAATTAAACATATTGAAAAACAAAATGGATTGATTGTGTAACAAAATTGAATTGATCCGACAATCAAGCCATTCAAAAAAAAAAAACCCAAGAGATGCCACACTATCTTTATAAAGTAAATGTCACCCTCTCCATAACAAGTATATTTGTACAAGTTTGATATTCAAAAATGTTGATTTACTGTCAGTTGATTGTCAGAAGAGAAGCCTATATCGTAAAACCGAAATTCATTTATAATTCATAATCAACTTGAAACCTTCTGATTTACATTCTTTTCTCAAAATCAAAAGTAGCATGATTTATTCCAAAGGAATTTTGAATTTGAAGTTATTTTGATAACTTTCATAGCAGTATTAAACTCTTGCATTCAACAAATGATTCTAAAACATTTTTACAAATACTGATAAAAAAATTTATTCAGTTCGTGCAGCAAACTGTAGATGCATGTCATTTATGTCTTGACGTCTTTTATGAATTTGACAGTTTGAAATAAGGAACTTTCAACAACATTACTGAAATCGCATGAAAAAAATTCCGGACTCTTTGATTGTTGCAGGTCTGTTTCGCGTTATATTATTTCATAGAAACTTTATTTGCTATCACAAGGCAGAAAATGCAGAAATAATCAGCCTAAGGACAACAGCCATTTTTGTTGAGCCTTCGACTTTTGTCGAAAAAGCGAGACATAGCGATCCTACATTCCGTCGTCGTCCTCGGCGGCGTCCACAAATATTCACTCTGTGGTTAAAGTTTTTGAAATTTTAATAACTTTCTTAAACTATCCTGGATTTCTACCAAACTTGGACAGAAGCTTGTTTATGATCATAAGATTATATTCAAAAGTAAATTTTGTAAAAAAAAATTTTTCATTTTTTCCATATTTTACTTATGAGTGGACTTAGTTTTTCTGCCAGGACACATTACATTCACTCTGTGGTTAAAGTTTTTGAAATTTTAATAACTTTCTTAAACTATCCTGGATTTCTACCAAACTTGGAAAGAAGCTTGTTTATGATCATAAGATAGTATCCAGAAGTAAATTTTGTAAAAAAAAAATTCCATTTTTTTCCGTATTTTACTTATAAATGGACTTAGTTTTTCTGCCAGTTAACATTACATTCACTCTGTGGTTAAAGTTTTTAAAATTTTAACAACTTTCTTAAACTATCCTGGATTTGTACCACACTTGGACAGAAGCTTGTTTATGATCAAAAGCTAGTATCTAGAAGGAAATTTTGATAAAATTTTGTTCCATTTTTTCCTTATTTTACTTATAAATGGACTTCGTTTTTCTTCCAGTCAACATTAAATACATTCTGCAGTTTAAGTTTTTAAAACATTTATTAGATTCATAAATTATCCTGGATTTTTACCAAACTTGGACAGAAGCTACTTACAATCAAAAGATAGTATAGAGAGGAATAATTTATTAATTTTTTTCCTCATTTTTGTTGAGCCTGCGATTAACACCAAAAGTAGGCAAGACACTGGGTTCTGCGGAACCCTTACGAATTTTTTATTTATGTTCCAGACCCATATGAGTATTTGGACCATAAGTGTATGGTCATGACCATATTGGTATACTCATATACTCGTTTTGTTATTAATGGGCTGGATCATATAAGTATTATAAGTAATTTTTATACGACCGCAAACAAATTTTTGTGGTCGTATATTGGTATGACGTTGGCGTCGTCGTCGTCGTCAGAAGAAGACACATTGGTTTTCGCACTCTAACTTTAGTTTAAGTGAATGGATCTCAATGAAATTTTACCATAAGGTTCAATACCACAAAAGGTGGGGATTGATTTTTGGGGTAATTGCCTCCAAATTTTAGGAATTAGGGGCCAAAAAGGGGCAAAAAACAAGCATTTTTCTAGTTTCATGACAATAACTTGTGTGTAAGTGTATGGATCTTTATGAAATTGTACTACAAGGTTCCATATCACAAAGGGAAAGCTGGAATTGAGTTTGGGGGTTATTGCCCAAAAAGTTTAGGAATAAGGGGCCAAAATGGGCCAAAAATAAGCATTTTTCTAGTTTCCAGACAATAACTTGTGTTCAAGGGTATGGATCTCTCTGAAATTATACTGCAAGGTACCATACCACAAAGGGAGGCTGGGATTGATTTTGGGGATAATTCCCTCAAAATTTTAGGAATTATGAGCCATAAAAGGGCAAAAAAACAAGCATTTTTCTAGTTTCAGGACAATAACTTGTGTGTAAGTGTATGGATCTTTATGAAATTGTACTGCAAGGTTCCATATCACAAAGGGAAAGCTGGGTTTGAGTTTGGGGGTAATTGCCTTAAGTGTTTAGGAATTTGGGGCCAAAAAGGGGCCAAAAAACAAGCATTTTTCTAGTTTCCAGACAATAACTTGTGTTCAAGTGTATGGATCTCTCTGAAATTATACTGCAAGGTACCATACCACAAAGGGAAGGCTGGGATTGAGTTTGGGGATGGTGAATCATAAGGGGGTTCAAAAAATTTGGGGGGGGGGATTTTTTTTTCCTTTTTTTTCTTTAAAATTTTCCATTTTAAATTGGTTATTTCTGATTTCTGATTTATATATAAAAGCAAATAATAATGATATGGTTTGAATAGGTAAATTAAAATTTTTTAAGTTCTTTCATTCTGTGTCAGAAACCTATGTTGTGTCAAATATTTAATTACAATCCAAATTCAGTGCTGTATCAAGCTTGAATGTTGTGTCCATACTTGCCCCAACTGTTCAGGGTTCGAGCTCTGTGGTCGTATCAAGCTGCTCCCCAGCGGAGCATTTTTTTTAATATATTCTAACTTCTTTAGCAGGAACACAAAACTTGTTTTCCGAACCATAATCAGCACAAGTTACTCTCTGAAATCCTTTATCTTTGACAAAGTGTGTCTGAATCTTGGTGCAACTGTTATCTTACCTTGGCTAGAGGTAATTTAATGTGCATGTATCCTGTCGATGTTTTTGCAAGTGAAACCACAGGCACTCTTTTCTTTTGTCTTTGATGATATTACGATTAGTTTTTTTCGGTTGTCTCTCTTCTTATTTTCAAGGTAAGAATAGATGGACAGCATGTATAAACTTCTGCTATTATAAGATCGTTTGAAAAGGCACAGGAACACATTAAATAACTAAACATAATTTGAAATGTTTTAAGAACCATTGAGTAGAATCAAATTTAAAAACCAAAATAAAGAGAGAAAACTGAGGTTTCAATGCGAAAAGTGTCTGTGGGTAAAACGCTTAAACCTCTTGTTCAACAAATTATTTAGATATTTCTTGAAGTTGTTTTCCCAAGTAGACATATTGTGTTCCAGAGGAAAATCAATAATGACCAAATAAAAAATGTGTTTTCCAAAATTTCAACTTGTGAGTAAAAGTAACATTATTTAATTGATCATGTGATAATGATATAATTTTACCATATGATTAAATAAGTCAAAATTTCATTTTTTGAAGCTCTTTATATATGACACATCAAAGGGTCACACATTAGGCCAATTACAACAAAAGTAACATTTCAACATTGTGTTTATAACCCTGACCATATGCATATGGTCAGACCATATGAGTATATACATGTATGCATACGGTCATTATCATATTCGTATGGTCCAAATACTTAAATGGTCCTGAACATTTATATATATCATTGTTACCCCTAAATGCCTTAATTGTTAAAATAACGTTCAAATCCATTTTATTTTAAAATATACATGCAGTAAATTCAATTTAATGATAACACTCTGTTACATACATGTAGAGTTAATGTAGTTTAATTTCTTATTTGATTATTTTTTAAACGTTAATACTTATACTATTGGACTTGAAAAACGTTGCAGTTTTTATACGACCGCAAAAAAATTTTGTGTTTGTATATTCGTATGACGTTGGCATTGTCGTCGTCGTCGTCAGAAGACACATTGGTTTTCGCACTCTAACTTTAGTTTAAGTGAATGGATCTCTATGAAATTTTACCATAAGGTTCAATACCACCAAAGGAAGGTTGGGATTGATTTTGGGGGTTATGGTACCAACAGTTCAGGAATTAGGGGCCAAAAAGGAGCCAAAAATAAGCATTTTTGTAACTTCCAGACATAACTTGTGTGTTAGTGTATGGATCTCTCTGACATTGTACCACAAGGTTCCATATCACAAAGGGAATGCTTGGATTGATTTTGGGGGTAATTGCCTCAAAATTTAAGAATTAGGGGGCAAAAAACAAGCATTTTTCTAGTTTCATGACAATAACTTGTGTGTAAGTGTATGGATCTTTCTGAAATTGTACTACAAGGTTCCATATCACAAAGGGAAAGCTGGAATTGAGTTTGGGGGTAATTGCCCAAAACTTTAAGGAATACGGGGCCAAAAATAAGCATTTTTCTAGTTTCCAGACAATAACTTGTGTTCAAGTGTATGGATCTCTCTGAAATTGTACAGCAAGGTACCATACCGCAAAGGAAAGGCTGGGATTGATTTTGGGGGTAATAGCCTTGAAATTTTAGGAATTAGGGCCAAAAAGGGGCAAAAAAAAAAGCATTTTTCTAGTTTCATGACAATAACTTGTGTGTAAGTGTATGGATCTTTCTGAGATTGTACTACAAGGTTCCATATCACAAAGGGAAAGCTGGGTTTGAGTTTGGGGGTAATTGCCCTAAATGTTTAGGAATTTGGGGCCAAAAAGGGGCCAAAAAACAAGCATTTTTCTAGTTTCCAGACAATAACTTGTGTTCAAGTGTATGGATCTCTCAGAAATTGTACTGCAAGGTACCATACCACAAAGGGAAGGCTGGAACTGAGTTTAGGGTGATGAATCATAAGGGGGTTCAAAAAAATTTTGGGGGGGGGATTTTTTTTTCCTTTTTTTTCTTTAAAATTTTCCATTTTAAATTGGTTATTTCTGATTTATATATAAAAGCAAATAATAATGATATGGTTTGAATAGGTAAATTAAAAATTTTTAAGTTCTTAGACCACATTTATTTTGTGTCAGAAACCTATGCTGTGTCAAATATTTAATCACAATCCAAATTCAGTGCTGTATCAAGCTTGAATGTTGTGTCCATACTTGCCCCAACTGTTCAGTGTTCGACCTCTGCGGTCGTATCAAGCTGCGCCCAGCGGAGCATTTTATTTCTGTTTAAAAAAAGTATTTTGATATGGTTTGAAAATCATAACAATGCTGAATATATAAAATCATTAATGATAGTTGATAAACCTCACTACAACAAAAAATAATTGTGATGTGATGCATGAAAAGTTCAACATAACCATCATGACAGAATGCATACATGTAATTAGAAATGTCAGTACATGGTAGACTCAAATTCTATAAATTGTAAATAAATCAGAAAAAGAAGGTTTTTTTTAATGTATTATACTACCAAAGTGTGCATGATCTTAGAACGGTTTTTTTCCAGCAGTGATATTGACTGTTTGACTTTCCCAATTGTAAAATACACCACTCACAGATTTTTGAGTGCTGAACAATTAACATTATTATACTACACGTCATAATGCCAGATTTTGATTGGATAATACGAGGGAGATAATTTACTCTATCCCATGACTCAGCGGGAGACAATTTTTGAATGTCACCCTCTCTTGCAGACCAAACAAAAATTGATAATTTAAAGGACAATGAATTGAATTTACATCAATAAATTAAAGACAATGCTCATGAATGGTCTCTGTTATGGCATCAGAAGAACTAGTTCCTAGACTGTCAGAATAAAAAGAAATTATCTTGCTTCCATTCTGTTCTTATTCTAATGACTGTTACGTTGTTATGTGCGTGACGTCATATATTTAAAATTTAACAGTAAAAAACAATAATGATAGAACATTCAGTATAATAAATTGAATAACACATAGCTGAGAGGGTGATAGAGCAGAATGGTACCCCTCGAAAAAGCATTGTCAACTGAGGCGAAGTTTTCTCAGGATAACAATCGGCTTTATCACCCTCTCAGCTATGTGTTATTTATATATTGTAATTTTATATGTGTTATTTGCTTTGTTAAACGAATAAAGTAGTTTGCATTCAATCAAAGGTATTCAACAATGTTTTTCAGCTTTTCAACACATCTAAATCCCCCTCCCCCTCTCCCCCTCCCTCAACTAGCATTGTTGAGATATTTCATGATATTGGCACCCTGAAATGCTACAATTGAATGTTTTTTTCCTAACTGTCCAGCAGAGTCTATGCCCTCATAGTCTGATTATTGGAATTGAAACCTCCACTTGTGCCTAAAATCGCAAGAAATTAACCACTACTTCGTTCATTTTAATATTTTTTGCTTAATTCTTTTGTAGAACTACTTTTAAGTAATATCTGGATATCAGTATTGAACAGAAGTTTTTCTTTGTGTATTGGTTGAAAATCTTACATATTTTAATTTTTTGCAACCAAAAGACATCTAGAGAGAACATACCGTCTTCAACAATAGACAGGTGTCTAAACAATATGTCAAGCTCTAAATCATCAGTGTATATATGTAACTGATACTTGTGTGTTTCATTTTTATAGGTTTTTCCCAAAGAGGGAGAAATGGATGATGACAAACCATTTGTATGTATTGAACATGGATGTGGTCAGGTATAGTAATTTGTTTTATATCTAGTTTGATTAAACCTCATGCAGTGTGGTTTTTCTACACAAATAAGAATTAAAAAATCCAAAAAGTAAATCTATCAAATATTTTGTCAAACATATTTTAATGTTGGTAAATTAATATTTGGGGTAAGGCCTTGGCCCATATTAAATTTTGACAATAAGTATAAGTAATATGGCCGTCTTAGGTCAAACTTGTCAATTTTTACATTTTTGTGAAATCATAGTGGCATTACAATTGCCATTTTCTGCACTAAAGTGTTTAGATTATACCATCTATTTTATCTTTATGATTATTAAAAATTAAACAAAATTTTATATGAAACAGTAATGTTCAAATGTATATCTTATCATATCAGCAGCCCTTAGTAAAATTGCTTCAGTTGGATAGAGTATCTACAAAACATATGTATATATATATAGAGTAATGTAGTTAAATACATGCTTGTGTTTAACCACAGATGGATGCATTTCTATCTTTTGAATATCATTTTCAGAGGTTCACTAATGAAGACCATCTTTCAGTTCATATGAGAAAACATGAAATGTCACTGGCATTGAATCCTGGAATCAGTTTATCTTCCACTGGTATATCTCCTTCCAGAATGGGAGGCTTAATATTAGGTAAGTTTGTTATGTGCTGGCATTCAAAATAAGTATATGCTTCATTAATTTGTACATTCAAAATGTAATGTGTGTACATAAATGAAAGGAGATGAGTGGTATACATCAGTGAGACAGCAACCTAATGACACAAAAACCAATAAACATTGCGAGTTCAACATTGTGGGTTTCAGTGCTAATATTTATCCTGTCAATTTTTTACATTTAAAAAAAAAACAATATTGCATTGATTTATGAATCTCATAACAATTGATATTTATTTGATGAGAAGTTTAATAATAGGCATGCTTAGTACGAGAATACCATTACAAATGAAATACTAGTGTAAAGTCAAAGATTGATTCTGTATTTGTGGCTTTTAAGCACCTTAGCATTCTATTGCATGAAAGTGTAAGAACTAGTACCTGTAAGAAATAAAATTATTTTTATGCCCCTGCCGTAGCGGAGGGAGCATTAAGTTTTACCCTTGTCCGTCTGTACGTCCGTACATCCCAAAATTGGTAACGTTCTCTAACTTTAGTTTGCCATAACCAAATGTTATGAAACTTATACATAATGCTAATAACCACAAAACACAGATCGAATTTTGGTGGCGTCACTTTTACTGTTCTAGAGTTATGCCCCTTTACAAATGGAAAAATTGCTGAATTTTCATTTCCGTTCTCTCACTTAAGTTTGCCTCAACCAAATGTTATGAATCTCAAACACAATGCTTATTACCACAAAACACACATCAAGTTTGAATTTTGGTGGCATCACTTGTACTGTTCTTGAGTTATTCCCCTTTACAAATGGAAAAATTGCTAAATTTTCGTTTCCGTTCTCTTACTTTAGTTTGCCTCAACCAAATGTTATGAATCTTATACACAATGCTTATTACCACAAAACTCAGATCAAGTACAAATTTGGGTAGCGTCATCTTTACTGTTCTTAGTTATGTCCCTTTATAACATTATAGTCATCATTGTTACTGTTAGTTCTTCCAATTGTTTATACCACCACACACCTCCTTAAAACTTGGATTTTAAATCAATGTCACTTACACATTATCTTTCTTGCACATGTTAACATATATCAATTAAATATAAATCTATTTTGGTTAGAAGAATATCATATGAATGTGTAACTTTCTTTTATAAGACCTCAAAAAATTTGCATTCGTATATTGCTATCATGTCATCGTCGTCGTCCGAAGACATTTGGTTTCTGGACAATAACTTTAGTATAAGTGAATGTATCTCTATGAAATTTAATCACAAGGTTCAATAGCACAAAGGTTGGGGTCAATTTTGGGGGTTATGGTCCCAACTGTTTAGGAATTAGGGGCCAAAAAAGGCATTTTTCTAGTTTCCAGACAATAATTTGTGTATAAGTGTATGGATCTCTATGAAACTGCACCACAAGGTTCCATACCACAAAGGGAAGGTTGGGATTGACTTTGGGGGTTATGGCCCAAACCGTTCAGGAAGTAGGGGCAAAAAAGGGGGGGGGGGGAAACAAGGTTTTTCTGGTTAATGGACAATTAATTAAGTATTAGTCTATGGATCCCTATGAAATTGAAACACAAAGTTCCATACAACAAAGGAAAGGTTGGGTTTGACTTTGGGGGTTATGGCTCAAACCGTTCAGGAATAAGGGGCAAAAAGGGCGGGGGGAGGAACAAGGTTATTCTGGTTTCCGGACAAATACTTAAGTATTAGTCTATGGATCTCTATGAAATATTGCACAACAGCAAGAAATCTTCAATTGAAAATAAATACAAATCTTTTAACCAATTTCAATGAGGATCAATTTAAATTTTTGAATGGTTTGAGGTTTTTACCATGTATTACAATATTAGATATTTGGACATTTTTATATAGGTCTACATTGAGGTCCAAAGGGTCCAAAATTAGAATTTGTTTGATTTCATCAAAAACTGAATTCTTGTGGTTCTATGATATGCTGAATCTATCTGTGCATTTAGATTTTTAATTTTGGGCCCTGTTTTCAAATTAGTCCATATTAAGGTCCAAAGGGTCCAAAATTAAACTTTGTTTGAATTCATGTTTTTTTTCATATGCTGAATCTAACCATGGAATTAGATTTTGGATATGGGACCATTAAGTAGATTAAATGTCCCATTTCAAATTTTTAAGTTATCTGACCACATTTATTCTGTGTCAGAAATCTATAATGTGTCAAATATTTAATCACTATCCAAATTCAGAGCTGTATCAAGCTTGAATATTGTGTCCATACTTGCCCCAACTGTTCAGAGTTCGACCTCTTCAGTCGTATCCAGCTGCTCCAGGCGGAGCACATTTTTTCTAAATAATTTTTCTTGTTTTGAATTATAGATCAAACACCGACTCCTACAAAGTTTCTGAAAAATTGTGAAGAGATTGGACTGTTTCAGGAATTAAACAAAAATCCTTTTGAGGAAGCATTCAAAAAAGCACTTGACAACGATGGTGACCAAGGTGTTCCTGTGAGTATTGTAACATTAAAGTTTTTGTTTACTTAAAAGTTTCCACAGTTTTGCTCATATGTTAAAGACTACAAAGCTTTACTTTTGCGCAATTATTTGTGCAAGTTTTCATTCATTCATCCAGATTTAAGATTTTGAACTAATGCTTGAAATGCACATGATGCAGAATGTTTAATACTTACTGATCATGCAGGATATTAGGATAATTTATAAGATATGACAAGGCCCCTTTTTGACTTCTCATTGACTTGTATTGTGTAGACACTGGATGATAAGCAAACATCATTTAATCAATGTAATGTGTAGTTAGTGGGTCCAAAATTTGGTTTCTACATTTGAAATCCTAAGTTGAGATTTTTAGCTCTCAAAATAGTTTTTTTCTTCTTTCCTCATTTCCATGCTGTAGTCATTTCTGTTCTTTGATCATCTGAAGTGAATATAAGTATATTGTAATAAACAAATTTGTTAATTAGCTTTCCTGAAATCAACTTGGGGATCACTGAAATTAGATTGTTTTTGACAGAATAGAAATTAAGCATTAAATGATTTTTATAACATGACAGAAATTTTTTAACATTGATTTGATGAAAAAAGAGTGAAAATAAGAAAACAAGATGCTAATAGGCACCAGAACACCCACAAAAATATAAGATTAATGGCAAAAGTAGCCGCTATCTTTCACACACTCAATAAGATTGTGACAAGGTTTGTTGGATCATCTTAGAGAATTTAAAAAAAAACAAACAAAAAATCAAGTCTTTTGAGGACAATTTATACCACTAATAATTAGCTTTATTTTCTTGTAAATTTTGTCCTTCTGATAACTTTTGCTTTTACCAGTTTCTCATTACATGTATCTAAAATCAGTTTCAAAACCTGTAAAAAAGCATTAGAATTGATCCAAAATTGACATTTTGGGGCAGTAACTTCTATAATAAGTCGATCCACAAAGAGAGTTATTTTCACCTATTTGTTGATCTTACAAAAAATGCATCTTGCTGATCATTTTGCAATTCAATTTCTCATTATCAATCATGTCAATTATGGTATCAATAAAGTTTTCAAGATAATAAAAAAACACAAAAAGAGTAAAAAATCATCATTTCAGGGCAATAACATTCTGTAAAGTGTCAGTTGGCATTTTCTGTTATTTATGGAATGACTGTAATATTTTTTCTGTCTATGAAGAAATAACATCAAAAATGTGGTCCACACTGAATAACCCGCGTGGCAGGTTATTGAAAGTGTGGACCACATTTTTATACGACCGCAAAAAAATTTTTGTGGTCGTATATTGGTATGACGTTGGCGTCGTCGTCGTCGTCAACGTCGTCTTCCGAAGACACATTGGTTTTCGCACTCTAACTTTAGTTTAAGTGAATGGATCTTTATGAAATTTTACCACAAGGTTCAATACCACAAAAGAAAGGTTGGGATTGATTTTGGGGGTTATGGTAATAACAGTAAAGGAATTAGGGGCCAAAAAGGGGCCAAAAATAAGCATTTTTGTAACTTCCAGACATAACTTGTGTGTTAGTGTATGGATCTCTCTGACATTGTACCACAAGGTTCTATATCACTAAAGGAATGCTGGGATTGATTTTGGGGGTAATTGCCTCCAAATTTTAGGAATTAGGGGCCAAAAAAGGGGCAAAAAACAAGCATTTTTCTAGTTTCATGACAATAACTTGTGTGTAAGTGTATGGATCTTTCTGAAATTGTACTACAAGGTTCCATATCACAAAGGGAAAGCTGGGTTTGAGTTTGGGGGTAATTGCCCTAAACGTTTAGGAATTTGGGGCCAAAAAGGGGCCAAAAAACACATTTTTTTCTAGTTTCCAGACAATAACTTGTGTTCAAGTGTATGGATCTCTCTGAAATTGTATTGCAAGGTACCATACCACAAAGGGAAGGCTGGGATTGAGTTTGGGGGTGATGAATCATAATGGGGGTTCAAAAAATTTTGGGGGGGGATTTATTTTTTTTTCCTTTTTTTTCTTTTTTTCCTTTTTTGTTTCTTTAAAATTTTCCATTTTAAGTTGGTTATTTCTGATTTATATTTAAAATCAAATAATAATGATATGGTAGGAGATACACACCAAACAGGATGTGTAAATTATTATATAATAAGTATTGTGCAATAGCAAGAAATTTTCAATTGCACAGTATTGCACAATAGCAAGAAATCTTCAATTGCACAGTATTGCGCAATAGCAAGAAATCTTCAATTGCACAGTATTGCGCAATAGCAAGAAATATCCAATAGCACAATATTGCGCAATAGCAAGAAATTGTCAATTGTACAGTATTGCGCAATAGCAAGAAATATTTAATAGCACAGGATTGTGCAAAAGAAGATACTTCCTATAAATTGCTTATTTCTTGACCAATTTCAATGGGGTTTTATTCTTGATTTCATGGGGTTCTTTAATATGCTGAATCTAACCGTGTATTTAGTTTTTGGATTTTGGGCCCCGTTTTTAAATTGGTCCACATTGAGGTCCAAAGGGTCCAAAATTAAACTTTGTTTGATTTCATCAAAAATTGAATTATTGGGGTTCTTTGATATGCCGAATCTAACTGTGTATTTAGATTCTTAAATTTTGGTTCCGTTTTCAAATTGGTCTACTTAAGGTCCAAAGGGTCCAAAATTAAACTTAGTTTGATTTTAACAAAAATTGAATTCTTAGGGTTCTTTGATATGCTGAATCTAAAAATGTATTTAGATTTTTGATTATGGGCCCAGTTTTCAAGTTGGTCCAAATCGGGGTCCAAAATTAAACTTTGTTTTATTTCAACAAAAATTGAATATATGGGGTTCTTTGATATGCTGAATCTAACCATGTATTTAGATTTTTGATTTTTGGGCCCCGTTATCAACTTTGTCCACATTGAGGTCAAAAGGTTCCAAAATTAAACTTTGTTTGATTTCATCAAAAATTGAATTCTTGGGGTTCTTTGATATGCTGAATCTAACCATGTATTTAGATTTTGGATATTGGACCATAATAGGTGAATGTCCAATTTAAAATTTTTAAGTTCTTAGACCACATTCAATCTGTGTTAGAAACCTATGCTGTGTCAAATATTTAATCACAATCCAAATCCAAAGCTGTATCAAGCTTGAATGTTGTGTCCATACTTCCCCCAACTGTTCAGGGTTCGACCTCTGCGGTCGTATCAAGCTGCGCCCTGCGGAGCATTTTATTTATGTTATTTCGAATAAGCAGAAAAAATATTACAGTCATTTCTTATAATTTAATTCTTAATTCCATTTTAAACCGGAGTAAATCATGAACAAACATTGATGACATCATATGCATGGTCACATGACAAAATTATGTCTATGAGCTGATAAACAAAACGACGTCAGCCAATCAGAAGACGCATTACATCCAAAATTAAATTATGTTGATTTATGCATACTTTTTTTTCCGTTTTAAATTAGAATAAAATGTTGTTTGTAAGTGAAATTGTCCAAAAATTCACCTCTGAGAAATTGGTAGAAGAACCAAATTTACTTTCATTTATTTACTGCAACATTTTCATTTTAACTCGCATGGCCCTAAGGGTAGAAATAATACAGAATGTTATTGCCCTGAAATGATGATTTTTTACCCTTGTATTTTTAAGGGCCATGTTAGATTATGCCATAACATGAGGTCCATAGTTGTTGACAAATAAAACAAAATGGAAAAGAAATGTTGATAATTTTTATGCCCTGCCTACAATATCAGAGGGGCAGTATATTTTCCGGTCTGTTCATCTGTCACATATCATGTTGAAGTTTTGACTTAATTTGGTTTGTGGTCACTTCATTAACTTTAAACTTAGCACATATCTTCATTATAAAGTAAACTGAATAATATATACTGAGCATGTCTAGTTAGAGTTTTTAAACTGGGAACACTAAATTTGGAAATGTGATCATTGATCATTAGAGTGGTGTACAGAGTTGTATGGACAGCTATTTTTACCTTTCTGTCTATACAACTCTGTGCAAAACTTTAAAATTGCTGAGTGGATAATAAACAAGGCAAGTAATTCTCGAAAGTCACACACACCATTTTGCAAGTGGCAATATAATAATTGTTACAGTCTGTTTTTTTGTTTGTTTGAATTGAAGCATTTCATTACATGACTTGAAATGTATAGGAAGATTTAGATGTCTACCATACCATCATAGAATGTATTTACATCAATATTTATCAATATTATTTAGAACAGGCTATTATTTGAACTTGGAATTATTTTTAATTATGGAATTTGCATAATTTCATGTGTTTGAAATTTTTGATAAGTTCCATGTTTATTAAGAATTATTATGTTTTGAGCGGTGCATAACACTTTCCACACAATGTATTTTGTATAGATAGTGTTGTGCGCGGCACTGTACATTCTATTGAAAATATGCTATCTTCTTTGTAATAGAAAGTGTTGTGCGTAGCACAGAATATTATAATACAGAATAAACATGGAATTCATTAAAAATTTCAAGCACAAGAAATAATGCAAATTCCATAATTAAAAATAATTCCAAGTTCAAATAATAGCCTGTTTTAGCTGCTTATATATATTGATTTGTCCAGATAAATGGACTTTGACCTCACTTATTTATCCACATGTAAATTTTGATAAATACATTTGTACATATATTTTTGCATTGTCATTGTGACTGTGTTATTATCACTTTTAATCATATTTAATTAAATAATATACAGTGTCATATATATATAGATTTTAATTCAGTATGATAAAATATTTATGAAATATGAACACTAAAAGAGTTCACAAAATATTAGTGATTATCAGAGAACATATCAGTTTGTTGTATCTATGGTGTAATGGTTAGATCATTGCAATTGGCAATAAGATAATACATAAGAGGAAAAACTTAAGAGTTCAAATCTAGGTACTTAATTACCCCAGGCAAATTGAATTTAAACGTTATCTCAAGAAGAATAATGGAAAAAAAAACAAAAGAAAAGATGGAAAAGTGTAAGGAAACAAATGGCTTAAAGTTTTTGAATTAACAAGAGAAACGTTCTGGACAAGTCTTTAAGTAACTAAAATATAAGGTATTGGTATGAAGTCCATCTTTCTGAGATTTCTTTTTGGGCCAATCTTTTTAACACAGTACGAATGTACTTTTAATAACAACAAAAAATGTATCTTTTATTAGTATCAGTAATGTAATTGTGCATCCTTTAGTTTTTTTACTCCCACTTTCAAAAGCAGCAGTATTTGTAGATTGTTGTGTTTGTCTGTCCTTTCATTTTTGTCTCGCCTTGACAGAGTCAAAAAAGGAGACATAGGTATGCTGTTTCCGGTGGCGGCGTCAGCGGTGGTGTCTACAATGTATTAGTTTGTTATTAGGTCTAGTTTATGGTGAACTACTAGTGGTAGGTCAATGATATTTGGTACGCAGTTGTATTAGCACTGGCACTTCTCATTACCATGGAGATTATTTGGCCCTGCCCCCTCAGTCATGCTCTATTGATTTTGAAATTTTGCTTAGTTTACATGTATTAGTTTGTGATTAGGTCAGTTTATGGGGAACCACTAGTGGTAGATCAAGGATATTTGGTATGCAGTTGTATAAGCATTGGCATATCTCATTTCCATGAAGATTATTTGGCCCCGCCCCCTCAGTCATGCTCTATTGACTGAAACTTTTGCTTAGTTTTCATGTATTAGTTTGTGTTTAGGTCAGTTTAAGGGGAACCATTCGGGGTAGGTCAATGATAATTGGTATGCAGTTGTATAAGCATTAGCACATCTCATTTCCATGGAGAATATTTGGTCCTTACCCCTCAGTCATGGTCTTTTGACTTTGAAATGTTTGCTTAGTTTACATGTATTAGTTTGTGATTAGGTCAGTTAAAGATGAACCTCTAATGTTAAGTCAATGATATTTGATATGCAAATGTATTGGAATTTGCAAGTTTCATTTCCATGGAGATTATATAACCCCACCCCCTCATTATGGTTCATCGACTTTTACATAGTTTACAAGTTAATGTTTGTGTTTAGCTTTGTTTAAAGGGAACAACTTATGAAAAGTCAATGGTATTTGGTATGCAGTTGTATTAGCATTGGCACATCTTATTTCTATGGAGATGTTTAGCCCTGTAACTTCAGTCATGGTTCATTGACTTTGAATATTTGCATAACTAACATGTTAAAGTATTGCTATTTTAAATTCAACATTTGCATTATCAAAATAACAAATAGGTGAGACATATCTCTGTGTTAACAGTTTATTGTCGAGCCTGCGACTTTTGTCGCAGAAAGCTCGACATAGGGATAGTGATCCGGCGGCGGCGGCGGCGTTAGCTAACTTCTTAAAAGCTTTATATTTTAGAAGGTGGAAGGTCTGGATGCTTCATACTTTGTATATGGATGCCTCATGTTACGAAGTTTCCGTCAGTCACATGTCCAATGTCCTTGACCTCATTTTCATGGTTCAGTGACTACTTGAAAAAAGAGTTAAGATTTTTTGTAATGTTAGATTCTCTCTTATTATAAGTAATAGGATAACTTTATTTGGTATGTGCGTACCTTGCAAGGTCCTCATGCCCATCAGACAGTTTTCACTTGACCTCGACCTCATTTCATGGATCAGTGAACAAGGTTAAGTTTTGGTGGTCAAGTCCATATCTCAGATACTATAAGCAATAGGTCTAGTATATTCGGTGTATGGAAGGACTGTAAGGTGTACATGTCCAACTGGCAGGTGTCATCTGACCTTGACCTCATTTTCATGGTTCAGTGGTTATAGTTAAGTTTTTGTGTTTTTGTCTGTTTTTCTTATACTGTATGCCATAGGTCTACTATATTTGGTGTATGGAATGATTGTAAGGTGTACATGTCTAGCGGGCAGGTGTCATTTGACCTTGACCTCATTTTCATGGTTCAGTGGTCAAAGTTAAGTTTTTGAGTTTTGGTCTTTTTTTCTAATACTATGTGCAATAGTTCAACTATATTTGGTATGTGCGTACCTTGCAAGGTCCTCATGCCGGGCAGACAGTTTTCACTTGACCTCGACCTCATTTCATGGATCAATGAACAAGGTTAAGTTTTGGTGGTCAAGTCCATATCTCAGATACTATAAGCAATAGGTCTAGTATATTCGGTGTATGGAAGGACTGTAAGGTGTACATGTCCAACTGGCAGGTGTCATCTGACCTTGACCTCATTTTCATGGTTCAGTGGTTATAGTTAAGTTTTTGTGTTTTTGTCTGTTTTTCTTATACTGTATGCAATAGTTCAACTATATTTGGTGTATGGAAATATTTTATGATCTATTTGGCAGTCACGCAGGTTTTATTTGACCTTGACCTCATTTTCAAGGTTCATTGCTCAGTGTTAAGTTTTTGTGTTTTGGTCTGTTTTTCTTAAACTATAAGCAATAGGTCAACTCTATTTGTTGTATGGAAGAATTGTTAGCTGTACATGCCTGCCTAGCATGGTTCATCTGACCTTGACCTCATTTTCATGGTTCATTGGTCAATGTTTAGTTTACTTGGTTAATGTTAAGTTTATGTGACAGTTGTAATAAAGCTTTATATTTAGGACTATCAACATAATATCAATGATTAGTAAAGAAGGTGAGACATTTCAGCATGTGCACTCTTGTTATATTCTTTATTGATTCCACACTATTTGAAATTTTTACAAAATCTTTAGTATCTAATGGCATTTTGCATCTCCTATTTTATTCTTTTATCCTAATGATTTTTGGGGTTTCCAATAGCTAATCGTGAACTTTGCTGTATCTACAGAAGGGGTAGTATCTGTATCTCCTTGTAAAACAAATACTTTATTTCAGCCAAATTTTCATCGAAACTTTCTTACATAATGCCATTGTCCATTTTCTATTCTTTTTTTTTTCAATCCAAATAATTTTTTATGTTTTAGACAGCAAAACATACACTTGGCCATATCTATACAAAAAAGGGAGTGGGCTATGAACTTGTGAGCTTTGCCAACAGTTTTGCTAGTGAGACATTTAAGATTTTTAAGACAAGATTTTGGTTGGAATCAAATTAAAAGATACCCTTATAAAGTAATGTATATGCAATCTAAAGCAAATGAGTAGATATAAGGCAAAGTTGAATCTCTCCTCCCTTATATGCATTGTAGTTGTGTAATTTTTCATTTTCTCTGCATTTAAATTCTATAAATGAACTTTATTTAGATGTCAAGTGAATATTTAAGGAGGACTGTTGTAATAACTGAAATAATTGAAAATAAGTGAGCTCTATAAAGTTACTTTAATTTTATTTAAATAATTGTTTGAAATTTTAATACTGCAATTTTTGTAGGGGATACCATTGCCAGGACCGTCTGGAAATGATAATGAATTGAACACCCCTGTACCACATATTCCAAGGTCATTGTCAGAGATCAGTCCTTTAACAAAGTTTAGACGTAGCACAACTGAGAAGCTTTCACTGAAACCTGAACCTAAAACACCGGATGATGATCAAGAGATAATTGTGACAGACAAAGAAGTCTGTTTTGTTACGCCATTTTCAAGGTCACAGGTTGTCATGTCAACCACAACATTGATTACTGCTGCACATTCCACAACTCAGTCTCCGTAAGATTTCTTAGAATTTATTTACGATGTATGCACAGTAAAAGGAAATATATTTACTTAAAGAAAAGAGATTCCATAAACAGAATTATTGCATGAAACTGTTACCAATGATATATTTAGAAAATTTAGAGATTTGATATTCTGAAACCACTGTGTTATACAGGACCAGTTTTTGCCGTAATTACCTAATTTATTGAAGGTACTGGTATATTCAAGACTTATGATTTGAGACCATGCTACAAGAAATAAAACATAGTGGTAAAATAAAAAATAAAAGTCAAATCAAATCATGTAACTTGCTATTTGCTAATACTTTATTATGTTGCAGCCTGGACATATAAATAAGGATATTCTACATTGTATTATTATAAGGTAATCAGGGATTGACCAGGCACATGTATAAAGTTAAAATAAAATTTCTTTTTTTTTTTTATGGATACTGATTTTTTATGCCCCGCTAACGGAGGGGGCATTTAGTTTTACCCTTGTCCATCTGTACGTACGTACGTACGTACGTATGTACGTCCCAAAGTCGGTTTCTGTTCTCTAACTTTAGTTTGCCTCAACCAAATGTTATGAAACTTACACACAATGCTTATTACCACAAAACACAGATCAAGTTTGAATTTTGGTGGCATCACTTTAACCGTTCTAGAGTTATGCCCCTTTACAAATGGAAAAATTGCCGAATTTTTCGTTTCCGTTCTTTCACTTTAGTTTACCTCAACCAAATGTTATGAAACATATACACAATGCTTATTACATGTACCACAAAATACAGATCAAGTTTTAATTTTGGTGGTGTCACTATAATCGTTCTATAGTTATGCCCCTTTACAAATGGAAAAATTGCTGAATTTTTTGTTTCTGTTCTCTAACTTCAGTTTGCCTTAACTAAATTTTATGAAACTTATACACAATACTTATTACCACAAAACTCAGATCAAGTACAAATTTGGGTAGCATCACTTTGACTGTTCTTCAGTTATGTCCCTTTATAACTTTATATGATATGCAAGTGGGGGCATCATCTGTGTCCCATGGACACATTCCCCATTTATTTGGAAAAAAAAGTTTCACTGTCTACAAGATTTGTCTTTTTTATAAGTAAAACATTAAGTTACATGACTTCACAACATTACTAGAATTTAAAAAAAAAAATTACCAAAATAGGATCTATATGAAATTTTTACACAAATTTTGGTTTTATAAAGACATGATCCCTTTGGGATTTCCAAATAATCATTCCAGAATTATTGAACTTTATTTGTGCAAAATTTGTACATCCTGTTTGGTTCCATGAATACAAGATTCTTTTCAATTTTGAAGTTTTTTCAGTGTTGTGGGACTTTAAAAAATAAATTACAGATATGAGCATTGAGCATGTCTATTATGGTAATATGGTAAGTTTAAGGGAACCAATCTATGTGATTTTTTACGAAGTATGAAGTATTGTGACCGTTAAAATTTTTTTATAAAGCAGTCTAAAAAATTCAATGATTTAATATTAAAAAAAAAATAATGTCAAATTGACAATTAAGCACAATATAGAAAAAGAAAAAATGAAATTTTATACATATTAACATTCTTATAGACAAATTGATTTGATTATTGTTTTAGCTACATTAATTATATTTTCAGACCCAAAACCACAGTTGCCCAACTATCAATGATGCCAGTTGTACAACAGTCCCAATGTACCATGCAGATCTTTTTACAACTTCCAAATGGTACAACAGTCCCAGTTCAGATACCAGCATCCATTCCAAGCGTACCTGTGATCCAGGCTGCACAGCAGCAGGCAAAATCAAATGTCATCAGTCAGACGAGTCTTCTGCAATCTCCTCCCCAACAGACTATAGCATCTCCACAAAAATCTCAAACATCTCTCACCAAACAGGCAAGAATTTGTTTTTTGTTTGCAATAAACATCAACCAACTGAGATTTACAGCTTCTATTGTTCAGCTTACAAGTCTATTAAAACATAACGGGTAACAACATTTTATTAAATGAAAAAGGAGTGATATACCTTGCATTAAGTTTAAGAGAGTAATTTTATAATCCTATCTCTGAGTGAAAATCATTTTTTTCTCGGCTGCGGCAAATGTCACAGAGTGCGAGACATAAGGATGCTGATCCTGTGATGATGTAAACTTATATAAAACGTTATATTTTAGAAGGTAGAAGTTTGTGATACTTCATATCTTGTATACAGATAGATGTCTTATCCTCTGAAGTATTGATATGAATTATGTCTGTTGTTCTTGACTAAATTTTCATGGTTCATCGACTTAAAAAAAAAAATTATTACATTATTTAGTAAATATGAGTAATAGGACATCATTTTTGGTAAATAAAAATATTGCAAGATATACATGTCTGTCAGACAGGAATAATTTGACCATGACCTCATTTCATGGATCATAGATTAACATTAAGTTTTTTTAGTAATAGTCAATGTTAAGTTTTTGTGATTAAGTTTGTTTTTCACATGTTATAAGCAAAAGGTCATTTATATTTGGTTAATGGAATGATTGTAAGGTATACATGCTGTTAGGCAGGTTTCATCTAACCTTGACCTAAGAAAAGTATTTTTTTTTTTCCAATTTACCTTACATAGCAGGAGGGCGAACGTGTCTGCCAACAGTTTCCATGCAATAACTTATGAACTGTTCAACCAATACTTTTCAAATTTAAATATGTAGTTACTGATGACAAAATGGAGGTCAAGTTCGATATTGACGATTTTCAATTATGCTGTTCTGGAGTTATGATATTTGATAGATTGTAAAATGGCACTTTAAGTCGTTTCCATGAAATAATTTATGAATCATTCTACCAATGCTTTTCAAATTTCAATATGTTATTATTGATGACTAAATGAAGATCAAGTTAGATATTGATGATTTTTGCTTTTGCCGTCCAGGACTTAAATTCCTTGATAGATTGGAAAATTGCACTTTAGGTCGTTTTTGTGCTATAACTTATGAATTATTTGAACAAAGCTTTTCAAATTTCAATATGTTGTTACTGATGATAAAATGGGTATCACTTTCAATATTGACCTTTTTTTTACTTTTGCTGTTCTGGAATTATGGTCCTTGAAAGATTGGCAAAAGGCACTTTATGTTGTTTCCATGCAATAACTTATGAAGTATTCAGCCAATGCTTTTCAAATTTTGATATGTTGTTACTGATGGCAAAATAGGGGTCAAGTTACATATTGACTATTTTCACTTTTACTACTCAGGACATATGAAACTTGATAGATTGGAAAATAGGCACAGAAAATGGCAGGTCAACCAATACATTAGAATACAACAATTTCATTCCTATTAGCTGACCTCAAGTTCAGCAATGGTTACATTCAAAATACTAAAAACCTGGCAGCTCATTTCTTGTATTTAATTAAATCATTTTTTAATTCTGGTTGTAGAAATTGAAACAAGCCATACAGCAACAGACATTACCATCACCAAGTTCACGATCAAACACACAGATAATACAAGTTTCACCGGATGGGTCCATTAGTAGTAGTTCATCTTTTGCTGCTAATATTTCCCATAATTCACCTTTATCAATGGAGCAGTCATTTTTATCTGATACAGCATCATCACCAGATACAGTGGATTCCACACAGGGGACCTCATTGTGAGTGTTTAATGTATCTTTAAAAGAATTGAGGGAAATTAAGACATAGATATTGCTTATCTGATACCTTTTGCATCAAAAGGATCCATGCTTGTAGATTGTGTCCTTTGATTTTTTAAAGTACCGATATGGCCTTTTGAATTATAGACATTTAAACTGCCTTTTTCACAGTGAAACTAAGTACACTAGATTTGTATTATACAGATGTTTATGTTCAGTTTTGTTGAGGTTTTCTTAAAGGAAGGTGATAGTCACACACATTAATATTTTTAGTTGATTTTTAAAGGCAGGGGAGTCATACCTAAACTTTTCACATAAAGTGACATGAAAAGGTGCAGTGGGATGAACTCATAAAAGTGGTTATTTACACCAGAAACTAAATTTTGATAATGCTGTGCATGCCATCATAGTTTTCTGGTCACAGTAGTGAGGATTAGGTGTCAGAAGATAAGGAATGATCTTAATAGATACATCATGGGAACAGATACAAAATTTTGGAATAATGTAAAGAAAAGATTAGGAACAGGAACCAACTGATCATGAAACAAATGCTTAATTTATCAGACATTTAAGTCATAAAAAATGAATAACTGAACCTCACTTGTAAGCAAAACTAAAATGGAACATGTTGTTCAGCAAGACTTCCAAGTCAGACATTTGTCAAGACAATAGTCTTTACACTACATACTTAAATATTTGAAAAAATGTTACTCTTAGATACTTTCAGTAGAATCAGTACATCATTTAAGAAACTATTGTGATTCAATTCATGTTTTTTTAAAGATAGTTAAGTTTCTTTTTTTTCATTTTACCTTTTTAAGTACATGTACCTTGATTTAATTTTTTATAAGCTCAAACAAAAGAATGAGAGGAGATGATGATGACGACCCAATGGATGGAAGACGAAAGAAATTCTTGGAAAGGAATAGGTATTTTTAGTCTTTGATATTGTCCAATACTATAAATATAAAAGTAAGATACTAATGTCAGTGGGCATGACATAGAATAACCATCAGTAGGCATGACCTTCTTGATTAACCTTCAACAGACATGACCTTCTTGATTAATCTTCAACAGACATGACCTTCTGGAATAACCTTCAACAGGCATGACCTCCTGGAAAAAACCTTAGACAGACATGACATGCTGGAAAACCTTCAACAGACATGACCTTCTGGAATAACCTTCAACAGGCATGACCTTCTGGAGAAGCCTTCAACTGGCATGCTCTAAACCAAAAGTTTGTAATTCAAAATTCCAAGATAAAATTCAGAAAGAAGGTCCAAAACCATCTGTCTTAAGGTTAACATTTTCTAAGATAATGACAATATAGAAATAAGGAGATGTGGTATGATTGCCAATGAGACAACTATCAGCTAAAGTACAAATGAAGTGGATGTAAGCAATTATAGGCAACCGTACGGCCTCCCAACAATGAGAAAAACCCATACCATATAGTCAGCTATAAAAGCTTATTTAAAGTACGATTCTTCAATTTTATAAACTATGAAACAAACATTGTATCAATTACTGGCTCCAGATTCAGAAATGGAGTATTATTAATAACATTATACAGATGTCACTGATTGGACAAAGTGTTATTTGCCAGCATACTGAGACTGTGCAAAATGATTTTTAAGGATCTGTGTATTTGGACCTTCCACACATTTCTTCTGTCATGTTTTGTTTATTTTAATTGGTAAAAACAATTTGTGTTGGTAGATTTTCCTGACCTAATTGGCCAGTTTTAATTTGTTCCTTTCAAATTAAATGGCCAATTGTTTCCAAACTTTATAGAAATGATGATAAAGAGATTCTGCAGAGATTCTTCATATTTTGCTGACTTGTCTTTTTTTACTGAAATGATACTACATGGATGTGCCTTTGAGGGAGCGCATCTTTATTTCTTTTATGAAACTAGTTTGTTAGCATGAACTAAAGAAGGATGAGTTAATGGAAAGAAAATCCTCATTTATTTCTTGTTAGATGAAAAACATGGCCCAAAGATGCAATTCTTAATTCAGGTTGTTCAGTTTTCAAATTGTTTTAAAAGAAAATGCACCAAATTTATTTTTAAAAATCCTGTAACCAGTCAACTGCTTTTCACATATCTGGACTATAATTAAAGTGGCAGTCAAATATTCATAATTTTGAAAAAACAGTATGCAATTTATTTAATTTCTCTTGCACAAATGTAATGATTTACGAGTTTGAAAAAATATTAGAACATGTTTAAAACGTCAGTATTCCAAACTTTTCCAGTTTATGACCTAATCATTTTGTTTTGCTTACATAGAATATCCTTGTCATTTGAAACAAAGATATTGTCAATAATAGTCTGGATACCTTAAACTCAAGGAGGCAGAATACTCTATTGGGCTGGATAGTGGCTGTTCTAGACATTAGGAAGAAAATACAGTCCTTTTTAGAGCCTCTATAGTTAACATTTAATGTATACTGATTTTTATATATTTTTTCATTTATAGCTATGATAAAATGATTTTTAATTTGACTTTTAAACAGAGCTGCTGCAGCAAGATGTCGTATGAAAAGGAAAAACTGGATAATGAACTTAGAGAAAAGGGGTTCTGATTTACAACAAAACAACAACAAATTGCAGGTTGGTGTAAATGATATTCTTTTAAAATATTATAATTTTTATTCCAAAAAATCTCATAGCTCATTTATTTTCAATACATCTTTCTGGAAAATACAAAATCAAAATTTAATAAAATTTACGGTACACCATCCTTTCAAAAAACATCTTGTCATCCATATCAAAATAATAAATGCAGTTTTTTTTTGGAAAAAAATAATTTAAAAAACAACACGCCTTCTTAAAAACAAGACATTTTGAGTTTGTTTAACTTTCAATTACATTTTATTTGAAAAAAATCTTTAAAAAAATGTGAAATTATCAATTTTTGTTTCCATGGTTAACACCCTTGGCAACAATTCCCCCAAGAATTGTATTGTGTATACATTATATTGAAAATAGGATTTTTCTCCTTATTGGAAAGTATAATGTCCTATTCCAATATGGATGTATAAGTTTGCTTTACTTCCTTAAAAATTGTCTAAATTGGGTATTTCTAACAGCTGTTGGACCCTACCATGTTTCCATGATTTGTTAGGGTTGTTCCAATCATACTCCCACGTCATATGCTTATTATGAATGAGTTACCCAATGTCAATTGGTGTAAATGAGGCCATTGAATGATGACGTAAGAATATATATAAGCATTCTACAGCAAAATTCACGAATGAGAAACTGAACATCCTCTAAACATGGAAAAATAAACAAACGATGTAAGAATTTGTTGAAAACCAATTTTCTAAAAATAAAAGTAAGATAATCATTTAACTTCTCCAACCCTGTCTAAGTATGTTATGGTAAATTTGTTTAAGCATGTCATTCAATCAGTTTTCTTTGTCTTTTACACCAATATTAGTATTGGGTTCAATTACAGGAACAGCAAATATTTGCCTTCACCTAAAACACTTTGATCCAAAAGAATTGCTGTCTGTTCTATTAGAATAAAAAAAATTCGTAAGGGTTCCGCGGAACCCGGTGTCTCGCCTACTTTTGCTGTTAGTCGCAGACTAAACAAAAATGGGGAACAAATTATTAAAAATTTCCTCTAGATACTATCTTTTGATTGTAAGAAGCTTCTATCCAAGTTTGATAAAAATCCAGGATAGTTTAAGAAATTTATTAATATTTTAAAAACTTTAACCACAGAGTGAATGTAATGTTAACTGGCAGAAAAACTAAGTCCATTTATAAGTAAAATACTGATAAACAGGATTTTTTTTTACCAAATTTACTACTGGATACTATCTTATGATCATAAACAAGCTTCTGTCCAAGTTTGGTAGAAATCCAGGATAGTTTAAGAAAGTAATTAAAATTTCAAAAACTTTAACCACAGAGTGAATATTTGTGGATGCCGACGACGGAATGTAGGATCGCTATGTCTTGCTATTGCGACAAAAGTCGCAGGCTTGACAATAATTGATAGGGGCTTGAATTTATATTGATCTTACCATGGGTTGGCCCTTTATGCGGATATTTTACCCCTCACTATCGCTTGTGGTTAAATATTAAATTTGAGTTGACTTTAAATTCAGATTTAAATGGTATTAATATATATCATTGGCATTTAAACAATGACAGTGGTATTTTAAAGGATATAGATGCCTGAAGTTCACCTATTTCATAGTGGAAAAAGAGAATTTTTGGATGGGAAAATAAAATAATATGTTGCCCTGGCATCTGTGGTCAGTAGCAACCATATGATTATTATTTTTCTATTTATTTATCAAAGTGTGATAACTGACAAAATTTGAAGCTCATCTGAGACTAGGCTTGCCACACCCTATATCTGACATTCATTCGTCTCTAATGATACACAAAATCAAAATGTAACATTAATGTCCCGATTAAATGTAAATTGTGTCATTAAATGGCAAGATTCAAAAGTATTTAGTCATCGTACTTACAGAAAATTTCCTGCTAAAATCAGCATATCCTACCGTAGTCTATAATCGGTCATAGCGTTGGTTCGTTCGGATTTTGTTATTGTACTTATCATACGGGAAAACTCCGCATTGACGTCACTACGCTAATACCAGCGTATAAAATTAGTGCAGAATACATTTTTTCTACACTTCTAAATAAAATGATATTTCTAAAGATATGTTTTCATTATTATTCTTAAGTATTGTACAAAAATGCAGATTTTCTAATGGCCATTTCAAACCTGACTTCCGAATGCCTAAAAACATTTCAGAACTTAAGAAAACCCCTCTTCCGGCCTCCATTGCTTTGTTTACATTCCATTGAGCGTCATCAATCTTAATGGCAAACCAAACAGGCCAAGCAAATCGTATTTTTAAGAATTTCAAAATGGTAAGCACCTTACGTCTTACGCGATTTTCCCGCGAAAAAAACCATCCAAATTGAATGAAAAACTTTGGGAAACAAACGATAATCATGCCATATTTTTGTTCAGGAGTATAGAGTAGGTTAGTAAAAAACAATATACATATATTTTTCATAAAAAAAATTTTTGGTTTAATATAAAGAGATCGATATTCTGACCATAAGTAAATCATATAAAATTCCATTGATGTTAAATTTCATGGCTTATTATGAGGTTTCATATTGAATAAACCCCCAATTTATTGCAAACTATTTCAAAGCAATATCATACAAACAAATAATATAATTGACTTGTACTAAAAAATCACCTAATAGACAGTAGAGCAATTTGATTGGATATAACGATTCAATGTGTTATGTGGTTTTGAAGCCATTAGAATTTGAATGTAAACAAACCGGGTCAGCTGCTCCAGTATGGAACAACATCGTACATTCAGTGACTGAAAAACAATTATGAGTAACCAAGCTTGACAATACACAGTAATAAAAAAACAAAGCTAAGTCTACAGAAAAATAAAATAAAAAATGTCCTTAAGTGCACGACTTACCACCATTGCGGGATACTAGTATCCTATTTTTTAATCATTCATAAGAGGAATTAAATCCAAGTATATGGTGCTTAACATTACTTTTGGTTACCCTTTTTATGTTAAAAGAATATTGTTTAAGAGGAGTCCTGTTAAGAATTATTTGAAAAAACTGTGTATTTCTGATGGTAACTAGTACTCGACCAGTACTGATGATATAAACTGTAAACAATACATAACTATAAATATTGGTGTTTTAGGGGGAGATAACTTCATTAAGAACAGAAGTAGCACAGCTGAAGACCTTATTGTTGGCTCATAAAGATTGTCCTGTTACACATGCCATGCAGAAACAAGGATTACAATTTGGTAAGATATATAGAAACAGAAATCTTGTCTAAATTAGACAATAGAAAATAACTTTCTAATTACCAACAAAAGTTTGTTCATGTAGTAATCAGTGCAATACAAAATTGTGGAATACATTATAAAAATAATTTATAATAAATGAATTAAGAAAGATGTGAAGAATATAACAATTTACTAGTCTATTAGCCAATTACTGATTTGATTCTTTTATCACACACTTTTAACACACACTGTTTCCTTTGCAATTGTAAACTGGTTCTAAACAGGTCAAAGCTTGATAAGTTGAAAATTTTACAAACTTAATTGAAAAATAACTATTGATATCAAAAGTTTTTAGCTTAACAAAAGATCCAATGTAATTGAATTAGATTTGAAAAACTTAGATTACACACAGATAAATTTGTTATTTCTGCTTGTTCTTCATTGGCAATGAAATGTATGTCCCTCGTAAGGGAAATAAAATGCTCCGCTGGGCGCAGCTTGATATGACCGCAGAGGTCGAACCCTGAACAGTTGGGGCAAGTATGGACACAACATTCAAGCTTGTTACAGCACTAAATTTAGATTGTAATTAAATATTTGACACAGCATAGGTTTCTGACACAGAATGAAAGAACTTAAAAAATTTTAATTTACCTATTCAAACCATATCATTATTATTTGCTTTTATATATAAATCAGAAATAACCAATTTAAAATGGAAAATTTTAAAGAAAAAAAAAGGAAAAAAAAATCCCCCCCCCTAATTTTTTGAACCCCCTTATGATTCATCACCCCCAAACTCAATCCCAGCCTTCACTTTGTGGAATGGTACCTTGCAGTACAATTTCAGAGAGATCCATACACTTGAACACAAGTTATTGTCTGGAAACTAGAAAAATGCTTGTTTTTTGGCCCCAAATTCCTAAACGTTTAGGGCAATTACCCCCAAATTCAAACCCAGCTTTCCCTTTGTGACATGGAACCTTGTAGTACAATTTCATAAAGATCCATACACTTACACACAAGTTATTGTCCTGAAACTAGAAAAATGCTTGTTTTTTTGCCCCTTTTTGGCCCCTAATTCCTAAAATTTTGAAGCAATTACCCCCAAATCAATCCCAGCCTTCCCATTGTGGTATGGTACCTTGCAGTACAATTTCAGAGAGATCCATACACTTGAACACAAGTTATTGTCTGGAAACTAGAAAAATGCTTATTTTTTTTGCTCCTTTTTGGCCCCTTATTCCTAAACGTTTTGGGCAATTACCCCCAAACTCAATTCCAGCTTTTCCTTTGTGATATGGAACCTTGTAGTACAATTTCAGAAAGATCCATACACTTACACACAAGTTATTGTCATGAAACTAGAAAAATGCTTGTTTTTTGCCCCTTTTTTGGCCCCTAATTCCTAAAATTTTGAGGCAATTACCCCCAAAATCAATCCCAGCATTCCCTTTGTGATATGGAACCTTGTGGTACAATGTTAGAGAGATCCATACACTAACACACAAGTTATGTCTGGAAGTTACAAAAATGCTTATTTTTGGCTCCTTTTTGGCCCCTAATTCCTTAACTGTTGGTACCATAACCCCCAAAATCAATCCCCATCTTCCTTTTGTGGTATTGAACCTTATGGTAAAATTTCATAGAGATCCATTCACTTAAACTAAACTAGAGTGCGAAAACCAATGTGTCTTCGGACGACAATGACGCCGGCTGACGATGACGACGCCAACGTCATACCAATATACGACCGCAAATTTTTTTTACGGTCATAATAAAACTAGTACATATGGATCTCTAATTACAGAGTCAATTGTGGAATTGGCAAATAGGCTATTGATTGACATTGAGTTCTGTATTTATTATTATACCCCGCTTTAAAAAAGTGGGGGTAGACTTTTTACCTCTGTCTGTCCGTCCATCCATCCATCCGTCAGTTCCTCCGTCAGTCCATCCGTCTGTTCCATGAATATTTTTCTCAGGAACTACATTACAAGGATTTCTGAAATTTGGTTTCAGGGTTTAAATGAGTCAGCTATACCGTGTGATGCATTTTCAGATTCATCACTCAACAACTTCCTGTTTACCGAACACTTACAGTGACATCCAAGTAGTTGAAAATTTTCGTCGCATTTATCTCAGGAACTACATTACAAGGATTTCTGAAATTTGGTTTCAGGGTTTATATGAGTCAGCTGTACCGTGTGATGCGTTTTCAGATTCATCACTCAACAACTTCCTGTTTACCGAAATATTTGGGCAGGGGTATCATCAGTGAGCAGTAGCTCACAGTTTCACTTGTTTTTTATGCACTGCAAAAATATATAATACATGTATATCAGAAACATTTTATCTTTATGATGACTTGCCTAGATTTTATATTTTGCAATTTTAAAACATTATAAATTCAATATTATGGTTCTAATTCTCTGTCCACTAATATGTGTTATTTTGATTAAAATTAAAACATTATTAGCTCAGCCAAAACTAGGCTTTTATAGTTGGTTGATATTTAGAGGTCTTTATACAGTCTTCTGAACCATTGAAGAAAAAAAAGGTGCATTGAACTAAACTTAGCTAGTGTTATTTTAGTTGGTAAATAGATAAACAGATTTTTTTTTAATAAATGATAAGGGGAACCTTAAATTCTTCAGACTGAAATCCATAAAAAGGTCCCTTAAATGTTTTTTATACGACCGCAAAAAAATTTGCGGTTTTATATTGGTATCACATCGGTGGCGTCGTCGTTGTCAGCAGCGTCATCTGAAGACATTTGGTTTCTGGACAATAAATTTAGTAAATGTAAATAGAAATCTATGAAATTTAAACACAAGGTTTATAACCACAAAAGGAAGGTTGGGATTTTGGGGGTTATAGTCCTAACAGTTTAGCAATTAGAGGCCAAAAAGGGGCCCAAATAAGCATTTTTCTAGTTTCCAGACAATAACTTGTGGAACGGTGTATGGATCTCTCTGAAATTAGACCACAAGTTTCCATACCACAAAGGGATGGTTAGGATTGGCTTTGGGGGGTTATGGCTCAAACTGTTCAGGAATTAGGGGGAAAAACAAGGGTTTCCTGGTTATTGGACAATTAAAAAAAAGTACAATGTTAAATTTGGATTACCTCCCTTACACTGCTTTTGAATTATGTATAAAGAAATGTTGTATTGTCTTGAGGTGATTAGCTGTCAATTTATTTTTAAAAGTTACTATTTAGAAATGCTGATTAAGGAATATTTAATATATTAATTTTAGCCATGATTATGTTTGTCATTTTCTATTTTAAGACTTTTATGATGTATTTAAATGGGTAATTATGGTTGCAAACTTCATTGGAAATTTGAATTGAGATTATTTTTTTGGAAAAGGGGGGGGGGGGGGGGGAGTAAAAAAGAAATTGTGAGGGGGGGAACAATTTTTTCTCGTTTCAGATTTCAGAAATTAAAAAGAAAATTTCTTCAAATATTTTTTTTTTTTTAAATAAAAAGGGGGGGGGGGGGGGGGGGGGTCAATTCGCAACAGCAGCAAAAAATTGAATATAAATTCAAATCATATAACCAATTCTAAGTTCTTTGACTACAGTTATTCTGTGTCAGAAACCTATTATGTGTCAAATATTTAATTACAATCCAAATTCAGACCTGTATCAAGCACGAATATTGTGTCCATTTTTGCCCCAACTGTTCAGGGTTGGAGCTCTGCGGTTGTATCCAGCTGCGCTCGGCGAAGCAATTTATTACACCGTATGATTGAAGTAGTACCTAAAGAAAATTCCATTCATGTGGTCAATTATATTTTAATTTGATCCAAAGCTATACTAAAGATGCTGTAACCAAAATTGCTGTTGTGGAAGTTTGTTAAATCTAATGTAGAGTCATCTGAAGCCAAGCTGTTTCACTTGAGTGTTATTGACTTTGATACATCATAATTGTTTAAGAGGGTACCCAACACTTTTACCAAATAGATTTGGCTTGCTTAAATTTCATAAAATTTTGTCCAAATATTTACTTTGACCTGTTGACAAAAATATGGAAAATTCAAGAAATTTGAACCACACAATTTACAGGAAAAATTTCATTGAATATATAGCAGTTTGACAAACACTAATTTTGATCATTGAGAAGCTTGATTTCTCTTTACTAATAGTATGTGATTAAAAGGTTCAGCTGATTTTTAAAGAGTTAACTCCCATAGGTGTTCTATGCCCCCATAATAACTCCACATCTATTGAAATTGATCTGACCATTTGCCAAAAAAGATTGGTAGATACCTGTATGTATTATTAAGAGACAGCAGTTGGTAGTCTTGAACTTACTTTTGCATAAAAGTTCTACCCAAACATGATAGATGTAATTTGATAGACTAGTATCAGCATCTGAAAATTATTTTGTTACGTTTTGTCTCTGATATTTTTTTTATATTTATTATAGTGACAGAATCTGAAGTTGTTGATGACACACCCATAAACCTTAAACAGGAAAACAATACTGCAGTTACATCATTTACTCACATTTTACCCGATCAAACTTATTCAACTTTATCAACCATAGCTTCTTCGTCAGGGGAGAGAACTATAACCATACCTACCCTCATTGGAAACACAGTGGAACACAAGACAATTAGAATAGTTCCTGCTGTTATGACTCAAGAAAATTTAAAACCAGTCAGAAAGAAATGACAGAGAAGAATTTAGTTAGATATTATTTAAATCACTTATTTTTAATTGTGGCAGCCATTTTTGTTAAATTTGTTAATTTATGATATTTTTGCTTCATTAGATATTTTTAGGTGTTTTAAGAAAATTGACTTCTACTATTAATAATTAAATTTTTTTTTTTTCCTGGTTGATTTATATTTTGAGTTTATTTAATACAACTTTTATAGAAGAACCAAGTTCATATTATATATGATTTATATACTGTAAAATCTGTCAGATTTGTTTTCTGAATGTCCGTCTGGTATTTCCTCCCCACTCCCCCATGTACAATGAAATTTGCACTACATGTATTTAAACAATGTTGTCTGTAAAACATGGCAGTTTTGCATTTTATTCACAACACATCAATCATCTCAACTTCAGCAAACTCATATGAAACAAGGAAATACCACATCATTTTTTCTCAATTTGATACTTTACTTATATTATTTGAACAAATCAGCAAAAATGTCAATGTAAAGATTGATTATTGGTGTTTAAAGCAACTTTCAGCACACTTGGCTATATTGTGTCAGCTATTTTTAATTGGTTGAGGAAGCTGGAATACCCAGAGAGATCTACCAGCCCTCAGCAGGAAAACTAGCGATCCTACTCAAGATTATAGTTCATTATTCATGCCACGAGTGGGGTTCGAAATTCCACTTCAATTGTTAACAGGTTAGTGTAGATGAACTTCTTAGACTACTCCACCCCTCAATAAATTTAAGAAGTAAATGGGACCAATTGCTTTAAACATGAAATACATCAATACCAAATGATAAATACCCATAATTATTTTGTGAGTGCTGCTAGTATGTTAATAGTTTTATCAGAATTACTGCAAAAATTTAATTAGATTAATGAAGAAATGGTTATTTTATATTTAACATTTACATTTGTACAGAATTAGATCGATAAGTCACGTTATTAAAAGCTTACTCTAATAAAAGGGGGAGCTTTTTTCCTAACTTCTAATATTTCAGTGTTTAGTTTTATAATTATGCATGTTTTATAAATTTAGGTATGCATTTTTAGTCTTTTTCAAGGAAATATATATTTTTTAAGGCATTATATATATTCTCATAAAGAAGTTTAAACAATTGGTAGTGTGACTGGAAAAAAAATTGATCCTAACCACTCAGTAATTATTTTCATTTGAATATTTATAATACTATAAATAAAATTGATTTGATATAATGTGGGCAATATTTTTGGACTATTTTACCTGCCAATTTGGTGATAAAGATAAAATTAGACAAATATGCCCCAGCATTAATCTGAACTTCAAGGTAGATCAGAATCAGAGACCGGTAACACATGAAAAAAGTCTCAAGAATAGTTTGGGCTTATGTAATTTGCCAAAATTACCCCCCCCCCCCCCCCTCCAAAAAAACCCCCCCAAAAAACACAAAAAAACAAACTAAAAACCACTTAACAGTACTTTCAAAAATAGTCATCCATGTGGATGATTGCTTCATTTTTGCTTTTGGAAGCTTCATTAATGTCATATGATATTTTTTTAACAATATAGTAAGCAATAGATTTTTTACACTGGAAAATTATTGTAGCATTTTCAATAGGTTAAAGCAGGGACTTTCTATACTAACGGGACTCGTCTCTATTGATTTTAATTAAATAACTACGCCTTCCGTATAAAGCTTCAAATCCAACAATAAACTTAGTTTCGTACCTCTGATATACGATACTAGTAGTTTATTTGCGTATTTCAAAGTACATTGTAATTTAATATTTTTTAATATAAAATCTGATTAATAGCCATTTACCATGACAAAAAATATAAGATTTTAAAAGAATGTTAGATTATTAAACTGAGACATATCGTTTTGAAGAACACTCCAGTCGTGCAAAAGGGGTTACATATTGAACAAGATGGCGGCCACTCGAAATTTACTAACAAAATACCTCAAAGTTCAAAGGTCTATATTTTAAAAACTATCCGAGAAATCTTTTCAAAAACAGCATTTTGCAATGACAAAGTGTATAAAATTTCATAAAAATGTTACTTCATTAAACTTGAACATATAGTTATATAGAATACTTCGTAAATATGAAATGATTTGCTATGAAGTCATGTGCCATCAGCGACGGCACAGTTCTGTCTGCAAATTTGTACAGACATTGTTATAATCGACCAGTCCCGTTAGTATAGACTGTCCCTGGTTAAAGCTAAAGTATTTTTTTAAATTATTTTCAATGTTCAAGGTTAGTTTTGCACATTGTTGTGTAAATTATGTGTTTGAAATAAATTAAGAATAAATAATATGACAGAAATATGAAATAAAACTGCATAATTGTACACACAAGAATTTCTTTAATTTTGGTTGAAAGGGAATATTGTGTTGATATCATATGTGTATGTATACTGATAGTCTTGTGATATTATAGAAAAATGTTTTATATGCTTTTGTTAAAAAGTCACAATAAATATAGCTTATTTCCAGATTTTATAAATTTCATTTAGACTGTGAGAAATTGGGCAAGCTTCATACTCATTAAATTATGCAAATTTTCAAATTCACAAGTTGTACTGAAACATGAGCTCTTACAAGTTTAGGATATTGTATCGACCAAAGAAAAAAGACAAACCAAATACATTCACATTTTCCCAGATGTCCACACCTTCATATTTTTTTACCTCTTAAATGTAAGAAGGTACATTTGTCTTCTTCTTTACCTCTTGCCAGAAAGTCTGTACACCTATAATGTCGAGTGCAATGGAAGTAACATTTTCATAGGGCAATTATAAGGGTCTGTTTTATGACCTGTGTCCCCAAAATCGGAAGCAGGTCTAGTATCGGCTCGACTCCGTCCGCCCATCCAAAAGAAATGTTATGTCAAAAATTTCTTGGCTTCTATGAAAGGGAACAATATTGTGTCTGCAGCTTTATAATGTTGAGTTGTAGCAAGTAAGCTATTTTTATACGACCGCAAAAATTGAAAATTTTTTGGTCGTATATTGGTATGACGTTGGCGTCGTCGTCGTCGTCGTCGTCGTCCGGCGTCGTCTGGCGTCGTCCGAAGACACATTGGTTTTCGCACTCTAACTTTAGTTTAAGTGAATGGATCTCCATGAAATTTTACCATAAGGTTCAATACCATGAAAGGAAGGTTGGGATTGATTTTGGGGGTTATGGTACCAACAGTTAAGGAATTAGGGGCCAAAAAGGGGCCAACAATAAGCATTTTTGTAACTTCCAGACAATAACTTGTGTGTAAGTGTATGGATCTCTCTGACATTGTACCACAAGGTTCCATATCACAAAGGGAAGGCTGTAATTGATTTTGGGGGTAATTGCCTCAAAATGTTAGGAATTAGGGGCCAAAAAAGGGGCAAAAAACAAGCATTTTTCTAGTTTCATGACAATAACTTGTGTGTAAGTGTTTGGATATTTCTGAAATTGTACTACAAGGTTCCATATCACAAAGGGAAAGCTGGAATTGAGTTTGGGGGTAATTGCCCGAAACGTTTAGGAATTGGGGGCCAAAAAGGGGCCAAAAATAAGCATTTTTCTAGTTTCCAGACAATAACTTGTGTTCAAGTGTATGGATCTCTCTGAAATTGTACTGCAAGGTACCATACCACAAAGGGAAGGCTGAGATTGAGTTTGGGGGTGATGATTCATAAGGGGGTTCAAAAAAATTTGGGGGGGGGATTTTTTTTTTCTTTTTTTCCTTTTTTTTTTCTTTTAAAATTTTCCATTTTAAGTTGGTTATTTCTGATTTATATTTAAAAGCAAATAATAATGATATGGTAGGAGATACACACCAAACAGGATGTGTAAATTATTATATAATAAGTATTGTGCAGTAGCAAGAAATTTTCAATTGCACAGTATTGCACAATAGCAAGAAATCTTCAATTGCACAGTATTGCGCAATAGCAAGAAAATCTTCAATTGCACAGTATTGCGCAATAGCAAGAAATCTTCAATTGCACAGTATTGCGCAATAGCAAGAAATATCCAATAGCACAATATTGGGCAATAGCAAGAAATTGTCAATTGTACAGTATTGCGCAATAGCAAGAAATAATCAATTGCACAGTATTGTGCAAAAGAAGATACTTCGTATAAATTGCTTATTTCTTGATCAATTTCAATGGGGATTTATTCTTGAATTCTTGGGGTTCTTTAATATGCTGAATCTAACCGTGTATTAAGTTTTTGGATTTTGGGCCCCGTTTTTAAATTGGTCCACATTGAGGTCCAAAGGGTCCAAAATTTAACTTTGTTTGATTTCATCAAAAATTGAATTATTGGGGTTCTTTGATATGCCGAATCTAACCGTGTATTTAGATTCTTAATTTTTGGTTCTGTTTTCAAATTGGTCTACATAAAGGTCCAAAGGGTCCAAAATTAAACTTAGTTTGATTTCAACAAAAATTGAATATATGGGGTTCTTTGATATGCTGAATCTAACCATGTATTTAGATTTATTATTATGGGCCCAGTTTTCAAGTTGGTCCAAATCGGGGTCCAAAATTAAACTTTGTTTGATTTCAACAAAAATTGAATATATGGGGTTCTTTGATATGCTGAATCTAACCATGTATTTAGATTTTTGATTATGGGCCCAGTTTTCAAGTTGGTCCAAATCGAGGTCCAAAATTAAACTTTGTTTGATTTCAACAAAAATTGAATATATGGGGTTCTTTGATATGCTGAATCTAACCATGTATTTAGATTTTTGATTGTTGGGCCCCGTTATCAACTTTGTCCACATTGAGATCAAAAGGGTCCAAAATTAAACTTTGTTTGATTTCATCAAAAATTGAATATATGGGGTTCTTTGATATGCTGAATCTAACCATGTATTTAGATTTATGATTATGGGCCCAGTTGTCAAGTTGGTCCAAATCGGGGTCCAAAATTAAACTTTGTTTGATTTCAACAAAAATTGAATATATGGGGTTCTTTGATATGCTGAATCTAACCATGTATTTAGATTTTTGATTATGGGCCCAGTTTTCAAGTTGGTCCAAATCGGGGTCCAAAATTAAACTTTGTTTGATTTCAACAAAAATTGAATATATGGGGTTCTTTGATATGCTGAATCTAACCATGTATTTAGATTTTTGATTGTTGGGCCCCGTTACCAACTTTGTCCACATTGAGATCAAAAGGGTCCAAAATTAAACTTTGTTTGATTTCATCAAAAATTGAATATATGGGGTTCTTTGATATGCTGAATCTAACCATGTATTTAGATTTTTGATTATGGGCCCAGTTTTCAAGTTGGTCCAAATCGGGGTCCAAAATTAAACTTTGTTTGATTTCAACAAAAATTGAATATATGGGGTTCTTTGATATGCTGAATCTAACCATGTATTTAGATTTTTGATTATGGGCCCAGTTTTCAAGTTGGTCCAAATCGGGGTCCAAAATTAAACTTTGTTTGATTTCAACAAAAATTGAATATATGGGGTTCTTTGATATGCTGAATCTAACCATGTATTTAGATTTTTGATTTTTGGGCCCTGTTATCATTTTTGTCCACATTGAGATCAAAAGGGTCCAAAATTAAACTTTGTTTGATTTCATCAAAAATTGAATTCTTGGGGTTCTTTGATATGCTGAATCTAACCATGTATTTAGATTTTGGATATTGGACCATAATACGTGAATGTCCAATTTAAAATTTTTAAGTTCTTAGACCACATTCATTCTGTGTCAGAAACCTATGCTGTGTCAAATATTTAATCACAATCCAAATTCAGAGCTGTATCAAGCTTGAATGTTGTGTCCATACTTGCCCCAACTGTTCAGGGTTCGACCTCTGCGGTCGTATCAAGCTGCGCCCTGCGGAGCATTTTATTACATCTGCCATGTATCCACTTCCTGTTTGCCAATAGTTTGAAATTTTACAAAGCTCATTGTACAAGGAAAATTTTCATAAAGGTTTTCTTGGCTTCAGTGAAAAGGAATGATCAGTAATGCTGCAGTATACATGTGACATTGATCAATTGCATGCAGTGATGCAGGTCTAGACTAGGTATTGGTCTCTGTTTTCATTGCTGTTGACCCATCATTGAGTGTGAAGACAATTTTAATGCTATTTTGGTTTCTAAAATATGCTTTGTTTCAGTGAAGGTAGGGGGCTTTCTTTGGATATGCATACATTACTTTTAAAAAAATGTAGGAAAAAAAGAATCAAATATACAGTAGGTTATGAGAAAATGTTGATATCCAAAAATACAGTAATGTAAACCAAAAATGTATTCATTCAGACTTTTTTCTGGAACTTTATTTAATTCTGTATTCTCAGCACTTTGTTTGAAAATAGTTAATTTTAAGTTGAAGTCCTAACATAATCTTGAAATGTATTTTACTATGTTGTGTTTCATGGAGCAACAACAATTGGT